TAGACAAACTTGGATCCATCATATGTTGTGAGAGAACCTGCTGGGAAATTTGGTGACTCCTGCACTCCAGGGCAGAGGAAACGTGTGTTTGTTCTTTGTGTTTTTAGGAAAGTAGGAAGATGAAATTCAAAATAAACCCCAACAGATGGGAATCTCACAGAGACAGACACTGGGAAATGTTTAGACAAGCTTTGTTCCTGGTCCTTGAGCTCAGAATTAAGCCACTAAACCGTAGAGAGACTTCAGAAAGACAATGAAATGCATTTTGGCTTCAAATACAGTTCCTCCAGAATCCAATGAGAGTTGTGCACATGAATCTGAAAGCAGAGTATAGCCAGCAGTATGGGGAATAGATGTAATGTGAGAAACTCTCATGCTATATTATTATAGTCTGAATTGTTTCCATCATTTTGGGTTAAGTAATTCCCCACTATCCATCTCTAAAGTGCAAACAGTACAGGCTTGATGTGCCCCAGGGAAAGGAAGGAAACCAGCCTTTGAATCTTTACCCAACCTTACTGCTCATATTTTGCTTTCAGTGAATAAGTGTTCAAATCCTTTAATACTTCATTCCCATAAAAATATATTTACCAGGGGTTTTTGTGGCAGCAGTGAGGCTGTGTTTATTATTTTAGGAACACCACACGACTGGCTTTAGAGAAAAGACAAGGCAGGAGCATGGGGTGCTGCAAATCTATCAGAGAACAGCATGTTTTCCACCTGTTGAGGCAGCAACCACAATAACAGATGCACATAATAATTACCTGTACCTCAAAGGCAGCACCAAGTCCTGCACCTTCTGCTCCCCACCTAGCAGACAGCTTGGTAACAGAATTACAAAAGAGGAACACTGAGAGAGTAGGTAGTGCTTTGTGAAAAATGAAAAAGCAGCTCTTATTAAAGAGAAACCGGAAGGTGGAAGATGAGAAGGAAAGATCTGAGGCACCATGATGCTAAAAGAAGAGTGGTGCTAAGGAACTCCAGGAGCCTGCCTTATTTTTAGAGTGACAGTCAGGATTTTGCTAATACCTTTTCCAAAGCTGCTCTCATTTCTACTCTTAACACCAGAGATAATTTCTACTGATAAAGAGGTGTCCCACATACCTACTGGAGCCCATTCCTTTCTAGAGATGGATGGTCCTGCAGTGGCAAGAGGTGCACACAGGGTAATATGGGCCTCATCTCAAGTGACACCATGAATGAGCATGACCATGTGCCAGTACCGTGTTCCTATTCCCATCACTGCTGCCTGGCAGTGGAATTGTGCTGGAGCTATGCTACCCTTTTGTTTGCAAGTGCCCTGGAGCATCTTGTGTAAGAAGACCAGGGAATAGTAGAGGGATCAGGGATGCACGGCAGGTGAAACATTTCTGCTCTTTCCTGCGTAAGTGCTGAGGCTTGTAAGGCTCTTTTCTCCCCTTCCTTTAACTACCAAAAGGAAAGTGGTGACATTTGGCTGGGTGAGGACTTGACCTCTGGAGTGATTTGTACCATGGTGGTTCCTTGTTACACAAAGGAACAGATACTTCCTGGCAGGGATTTGTTGGGGAAATGATCTCAGGCCCCATTTAATCTTGACAGAAGAAGATGATGAGAAGACTGTGTGCTGAGTTGGAGTTTTCCTTTGAATTCCTATGGTGTTGAAGGCAGCACTATAAATAGACACAGTATCCTTTATACCCTGGTACAATTCTGTCTCCAGCTCCCCATACAGACAGCAAGTCTGCTGGTAGGTATTTAGCAGGAATTAATTTAACCCAGTCTTCTCTTTCTGTGCTCTTTTACTCCAAGTGTCACGATGGCTTCCATAGCCATACAAACATACTTCCTCAATAAAAATATTCCGAGGAAGACTGATGATATTAAAAATCCCATTTCTCTCTGAAAATTCTAGTTATAAATAATCCATAAATGCCCCATACTATAAATAGTTGGTATTAAAAAAAAAAAAAATCTCACTCCCCTCTCATACTTCTTAGTCTTTCATTTTGTTTCTCCCAGGTTTTGTTTTTGAACTGCACAGCATTTTAATCATAGTCTGTTTCACATTTTCTCCAGTGTCTGGAGACAATGTGGACAGTCTCCCCCTTCCCAGGATCCAACTTGAGAACATCAGCTAAGAAGAAGGAAACCCAGACACAGTGTTTCATGGTTATTTTCTTAAAGATAGATCTGTAAGCAATTTTAATACAAGCTAAATTGGTGTTTTAAAAAACAACTCATTGAATTTAAGCATCGTTTTTAGCGAGAGATCCTCAGCCTGTGATCCTACTGGAAAGCAAACTAAAACTTTCACAAATATTAAGAGTTCCTGAGTACAAGGGCAGAGACGCTGATCTGGCCTGGCTCTGCCGTGGTCTCGCTGCTGGTGGAACTGCTGGTGGTTGTGTTCACGCTGCTCAGTGCAACTACTGAGTTCACTGGGGTTGGTTTGTAAACAAGAGTAAAGGTACTTGCCTGGTAGTCGAAGCTCCCGCGCTGCGGTCTCTTGGATTACCTTTGTTTGAGTAATACCACTCCAGTTTCCTCCTAACGTGCCACTTGCACAACAAATTTCTAGCCTCTCCGGGTGTTCAGTTTATTGAAGGCCTATTTTTAATTCTGTTAATTATAACCCGTACTCCCCTACCCTTTCGGACCCGCAGGCAGCAGCCGGAGCGAGCAGCTGGCAGGCGGCGGGGGCAGTTTTGGAAGGGGCCGGGCGGTGCCAATGGCTGTGACCCGGCCGGGCGGCACCAGGACCGGGGGCTGAGCTCTGCCCCGACACGGGGCTTTGCCACGGGCGCTCCTTGCGGGGCAGCTGCGGTTCAGTCCCGCTGTGAGCAACGGGGGGTGTTGCTTGGCACCCGTCCGTGGTGGGGCATCTGTGTCCATCCCTGCGGGCGGGCTGTGCCCCAGCTTTGTGGGGCGCGGGGCGAGACGGGGCGGGCGCGCTCCCGAGCTCAGCCCCCGCACCGCCTGCCCCGCGTCCCTCGGGGCTTGACCCGAATTCAGAACTGAACGGCCGGCGCGGGGCTGAGGCCCAGGGCCGGGTGGGCGCCGCCGGGACCCTCCCGAGCCTGTGCGGGTGCGGGTCCGGGTGTGCAGGTCCTGGGGTGCGGGTTTTGGTGTGTGAGTCTTGGGGTGCGGGGCCCGGTGCGGCTCCGACCGAGGGCGCCGCCCGCGCCGGGCCGAGGGCGCCACCTGGCGGCGCCGTGCGGTGCTGCGGGCGCAGGGCCGGCGATGGGATGCGGGATACGCGCCCTTGGGAGAAAACCCGCGCGCGTGGCATCGCGGCCCGGGAAGTTACATTCCGTGTGTTTATCGTCAGAGTAAGCTGCGGGTTTCCAGTTGTACCCACTGGTATTTTAAAAACGCAGTAAGTTTGTATCCTGTGAAATGCGTTTAATGTGCCGGTGCTCTCGTACCCCCCAGAGAGAGCACCCTCGGCTCTGCCCTGTGCTCTACAGCCGAAAATGGCCGGCTGGCCTCCTTCCTGCTTCCTATACAGGGAAGTATAAAATAATGTGGTTCTTGTGCTTGAAGCTGGGGGCATCTCTACAACCAGATCCACTGGGGGGTTTTGCCCCACCTATTTTGTAAGTTTAAATCACTTTGTTAGATTTAGTTGGTAATGGAAACGTGCATGCTTTTATTTGTGTTTGAAACATACTTTTAATTTGGCTCTTCCTGCTTGCTGTGGTTTTGTTGACTTTGCAGAGCAGCCCCAGAGCTCACGAGCAGGTTTCCTTACTCAGGGAACTAAAGCAAGGAAGTGCTCCAGCACTGCTCTGCTGCTGCTCAGGGATGTCCAGCCCACAGGGTTAGTCCAAAGCAAAACCCCCTGAGATGCCCTTTGCTGTGAGGGTCAGGTCCTCAGTGCTAAATGTTCTGCCTTGTGCTCTGACTCGTATAGTCTATCCCACAGAGTAGATGTAGATATTGCCAAAGAGCGTTATAAAAGGTGCTGATTCGTCTCCTGAAGGCAGAAATCAACCTCGTAGACAATGCTGGAAATGACAAGGAATGTTTTGCCTTGTTGCTGGGCTAGTTTTGAGTAACCAGCTCATATGGTGGGGAGTATTCATGCCTCTGCATTCCGAAGTTTGGTAGTAGGAATACAAACTGCCATCCCCAAGCTGGCTTTGTGCCGCAAATGCTTGTCCTCCGGGAACCAAAAGCCAGATGTGCTTCACATAGTTTCCAGGCAGCACTGATCCATCAGATGACAGTAGCTATTGAGTGCTCTTATGGTGGCCCAGAGACACAAAGATGAAAGCCTGATGCCTGTCAACACCTCCCTTGCCATTCCTGTGTGCCTTCAGTTTTCACTTGAGTTCACCTCACAAAAGGAAATGCCACAGAATATGATGTTGCAATGTTAATAACCTTTTATTTTTTGAGCAAGAAAATCCCAAGTTTTGTAATTTTCAACTGTCTGACAAATTTGGGATATGTTGAGCTTTGCACCCACTCCCGATACCCATGCAGCTGGTTGGAGCCTCAGCTGGGAACACAACTTCTTCTTCAGAAGCATTTTCTGCAGCATTCCTGGACGATTTTTGCTAAGGAAAATGAACAATATTTGAATGCCCTCTCAAAGAAACGAATTTTCATGGAGAAAAAAAAACCTCTGATGAATAGCCAAAGGGCAAACACTATAGAGAGACCTGGAATAATTTCTTAGAGCGGCTTCTGTTGTTTCACACCTGCATTACCTTTAAAAAGCCTCTTACCCCAACTCAGGAGCTCCACCTATTGTAAAATCAAGAACTAACCAGTGCCAGATTCAAGTCTTAAAATACAAACCCTTTGAGATACAGGGAGCAAAGGGATGGGGGGGGGGGGGCTGGTTCATAAGAAAACTTCTAAGCATTACTGTAGCATAAATAATATGGCATCTTTCACCTCAAATAGCCTAACACTTCATAAAGTGATATGAGCTTCACTAGTTGCTAAAAACACAGATATTTATGAAGTGGAACCTGATATCTTTCTTTTATTTTTCTTTTTTGTTCCTTTTTTTAACCAGTAAAGAGAAATGTTTTAAGGTGGAGAGTAAAGGATAGAGTATACAATCAATTGTAGGTATAAACCTAGGAGAGTTTTGCAAAATGGAAAGATCAAGCAAAACCTACTTTTATTAATAACATGCGTTCTGGTGTCTCATAAACTTGTGTCCTTAGTTTATAAATGCAGTTAATCTATAAGAGATACAGGCAACTCAAGTAAGATTTTCTCCTCTCTCTTTCAGCAATACTCTCTTACAGCTCTTTGGTAGCAGATGCTCTGGATCTTTTCTTCTCTTCATTCAGTTTAATATCCAAATCCCGGAGCTGGCTGAGGAACCCTGAATTTGGACAGATGTCTCTGTGAGCACCGACTGTCTTCAGAGCATCCACGAGTGTCATGTTTTCATGGATCATTAAAAAGGCAAGCACTAAAGTCGCTGAGCGGCTCACTCCCATGGCACAATGAACAAACACCTTACCTGCGGAAAAAAAGAGATGCGGCGAAGTGAGTGTGCTTTAGCATTCCTAAAGTGGAAAAGACAGAGGGAGGAGAAAAAATACCAGAAACAAGTAGGGAACACAACAGAGACAATTAGTGAATCCTTATGTTTTCAGAAAGATTATGCTATACCTGTCAGGCAAGGTGGTGTTTCATGCTGACCTCCTGGATCTAATTTAGGCCTCAGATTAAATAATTGAAATTTTCTGTGGCAGGAGAAGCTTTCTGTGACTAAACTTGTTAGTATAGTTTTCTGTGGAAAAAAATAAGCTTTGGCAGAAAAATTTGGCCCAGGCCTGACTGTGATCACTGGCAAGTCCCATAAGCTCTGTGGGATAGTCTGCCTGTAAAAATGGAGTCGTAATTTACTGTATCTCAGCAGCCCAGTGTGAGCTATAACTGGGGATTTAATAAAGCACTCCAGTGAAAGCAGCAGATCCTGCAGCCAGTCAGAGTCAGAGCAAACTCTGGAACAAATGGAAATTATGATAACTAGGCCATAATCCAAACTCTGCTGACAAAAATTCAGCAGGCTGTGGGTCAGGCTCGTAGTTTTTGACTTAGTTCATTAACTTCTGCTGCTTCTCTAGCTTAATAGACAGGCTGAATAAAGCTTCTGAATTCTGCAAAGTACTTAAGCATGGGAAGCATTCGAGCCAGCACTGAAGTGCCACAGCTCCCAGCTGAGTGCATCGGGACCAGGAGCAGCACGCAGGGCAGGATTGTCCGTCTGGAGCCTATGCCAGTGTGCAAGGGGTGGGAGGTGTGTGTGGAAGCACACAGATCGTGCCAATTCCTACAGGATGGGCCCAGGGGGAGCACCTACAGTGCCATAACCTCTACACTCTGGTATTAGAGCTTGCCCATGGTATTAGAGCTGCCCATGCTAGGCTATGGGCAGCCAGTCTTCCCCAGCTCCTGGGAACCTGGCCATGGCCACCTTCCCTGCAGCACATGGCATAGGCACCCTTCTCCATCCTCTCCTTGGTGGTTCTGCGTGTGCCACCTTGAACCTTATGCTGATTCTGAGCTCTGTTGGTGCCTGTTACTGCAAGGAGAAGTCATTTGGCTTGCATTGAAACTTCCTCCCAAAGCTTATCTTTGCTTCCCTCTTACCTCCTGAAGAGTTTAAGGCCTGGCCTATGAAATTGGCAGCATCATAGAAGAAGATACTTAAATCAAAGGAAGGATCATCAAATGCTTCTACTCCATAGTACTTTATTTGCAGATCTTCATAATATTTGGCTCCTGTGTTGATGCTATATGGTCCATCTGCTGCATTAAGGATATGAGTAATGTTGAGGCTTTGAAGAGTAGTTTTGCTCCTGGCAGCCCACCTGTTGAAAGACATGAAGGGCACATTGGCAACACTCCCAACATTCTGCTAAAATAGCATGGTTTAAAGTTAGTGCCTGCTCCCACTAAGAAAGGATGCAGGAACTGCATCTTGCCTACAGAGGAGAAAATTTTGAGCAGCACATAGTACTTTGTACATGAAAAATGTGATATGGGGGTGTAGAGAGCAGCAGGAGCACAGACTTGCCAGTGGGATACTGTCAGTTAAGCAAATGCCTCCTAGCGGTTAATCCCTGGGAACATGGCTTACTCTATAAAGTGGTCAAGATTTTCCTTTAAATATTTGTTTAGCAAGTTTTAGAGCTAATCTCTCATTGATAGGGTGCCTGGGTCTCAAGGGTAAGAACTCACACGGATGCAGCAACACCTTGTTCCTGGTTTTGGACATGAAGTGGATGCATTGTACTCACCAGCTAGGTTTTCCCCCCTTCCCACAATAAAGTGGGACTAAAGACATGCTACAAAACTCTGAACCTTAACTGATATATTCATGAGGAGGAGGAGCTGGGAAAAACAAGCCGATGATCTATGTAATCTGCTGTATTCCAATTGGAAGGAAATAGCAATAAATATTACTGGTCCCAGGAGTAAGGTACTTGCATGAATATTTCTGTTTGATATTTTCAGGTTTGCCATCTTTGAAAGAAACTTCTGATTTTAAATGTCAAAATCCCTACAGTATAATTAATTTGGATCCTCTTCTTTCTGTCTCTTGATCCTGCCACCCCTGTTTGAGCGTGAGGGCTACTGTGCTCTTGTCTGCTGCCTTAGAGCACAGTTTTCAGGACAGATAATGCATCTCAGAATTGACACCAATTTGGCATAAGTTCTTTGAGGACTTTTGTCTAGAATACAAATAATTCTTACCCTGCCAAATCCATGGTGGCTCACAGAATATAAAAAACCCAAGTCAGACACAGTAAGTCACCATTTTGCATGTCATGTTTTTCTTGACATCCAGACTCCTTATGTCATCAGCTTTGGAAGCCTGTATTGTAAAAACATTCCTGTAGACCCAAAAGCTGCTCCTCAGTGTACCACACCCATTCCTCCACCTCCCAGGGACTGATAACAGTTTAACAATAGGACCATATGTTCTTACGCATCTCCCAGGTAGATATTTGGCCAGACTTGGTCCACATGATTATCAGACCCTCCTCTGAACCACAGAAGCCGCTGGAGGTCTGATAGTGCTGGTGTTTCGTAGGAATCATTGCTAGTCAGAGATGAAGAGTCTTTGGTGTGAGGCATCTTGCTGCTCTTTTGCACGCACTCAGGCTGTATCAGAGAAAGCTTTTCTGAAATGAATTAAGAGGAAATTTTCATACAGATATAACATTCCCTAGAAAGTAGTCCTGTTCATTACCCTCCAAATAGCATTACATTATTATACCTAGTGTGTGCAGCAGGGCCTGCAGGTGTTGCTAAAAACATCCAGAGAGCAGGAGTGACTCTGTGGTAGGACTCTAGAGGCATGTAAATCCTCCCCTGAGAAAGCAGCATAAGACAACGTGATTTAATTTCTTGTCAAGTGCTGATGTTGGAGAAGAACCTCCTGTGCCACCTGAATGCAGCACTGGTTGAATCTTGTAGGTGCAGGTGTTATTTCTGTTACTGATGAGCATATACAGAAAAGCTTCAGCTCTATTTGTTGAAGAGTTACCAAGTGTTTGTGCACACTTGATTCTGATTAATTAAAACTGGAAGTTTTTGAAAGAATGGATCATTGGGCTGACTTAAAATGCTTCTAGGGCCAAGGTAAAAGTCTTAGGATGTGTGTGAGTGATATTTGTATAATGCATGTGTATACACATATGAAATACATGTGCGTACAATTTTCTTTCGTTTATAGGGATGTATTTAAACACACATATACACAAACATATATACATATGAACGGATTTTCACGTGCATATATAAACATAGACATATGTGTCTGTATGTATAGACATAGAAATTGAGAGATTTTGAACTAGTTTTTTTCTCTCTCTCAGTTGAATACCCCTGAACACTTAGCTATACTGGTATTCTTGTGCCTGTCTGTCTCTGTCTCTCCTCTGGGAGCTGTTCCACTTTGTATAAATAATGTGATAGGTACTTGCCTCCAGAGAGAGGCCATTTCTCTCATCTGAAGGGTGAAGTACTTACCTGGGATGTGAGAAAAGAGAGCACCTAAATTTATGGAAATTACAGAGCTGAAATTCTGGCATTGTTGTCCTGTTAAGAATCCCATCTAGGGCTCCCTTCCAGATCTGTGAGGAATCCGAGAGATCACACATCTGTGATGCCTCACAGATCACACCATGGAATTTGGGCATCCCTTTTGCAGTGCTGTTTGCTGGTTTAGACTCAGGAAGCTCAGGCCAGCTGGTTCAGCTCAAAGCAGAGCTCTGTCAAGAGCAAGAGTACGAAGATATCCAAGCAGTCCCTTCTTTGAGACTTTAAGAGCATTTCTTCTGCCAGGATCTCATTATCCTGAATTGCACTTCTCACCCCCAGAAAATATTAATGAGCTCTGTTTGGTTGCTTGTTGGTATTAGAGTCATAATCAATGTGAAAGGCACACTAGAACTCTTCCCAAAGTAGGGTAGATGGTGTTTATTCTCATGTGGCATCAGCTTTGCCTAAATCTAGAGTTTGCGTTTATTTTTGTAACAATTCTAGAAAACAAGTGCAGATTGGGCCCTCAGAAATCATCTAGTCTGTCCCCTGCCCCACAGCAGCAGCCAGATGGATGTTGCTTCTAAAACAACAACTTTATCCAACATCCAGGTATGTTATTTTCAATGATGTAGGGTGTTTTGGGGAATAAGCAAAAGACAAAGGAGAATATCTTTTTTCTTCTGGAAAAAAAAAAGTAGAGATGATGTGAAGCACATTATTGAACACATCACATATATTTCTGTGACCTCAGCCACAATTTGCTTTCCTTGCCCCCTTCTCCCTCCTCTTCCCCACCAATGTTAAGCACAGTGATAGCTTTTTGTATGTTCCAATAAAAAAGAAGTCTCCCTAGGGTAACTGCTTAATAAGTAAAATATGAAAAGCACAGTAAAAATCATGGGAGGAAAAAAAGTGACTGGTTTTACTTTTAATGATGGAGGAAAAGAACTGCAGGGAAGTAGAGAGGAATATAGAGATAAAAGCCTACGAATTTTTCAGGGCAGATACTGTAACACCAAGAGCTTTGGTAAAGGAACATGTTGTGCAATCCTTGCACAGATTAACATGAAAAATAGCACAGAAACAGATATTGTGCACTGCCCTCCAAGTTTTACTGCCTTGTGAAAGTCATGCACTGTGCTCAAGAGCTACTGCCAGCATCTTCATGATGACCTGTTTGTACTTTAACTGACACAGAACGTTAAGCTGAAGCAGTAAAAAAAAAAATCAAGAAAAAGATAATACAGCTTGTACATCGGGAGAATCATAAGACCACAGGCTAATTTTCAAAGTGTGTGGCTGACTCTGAGTTGCTGCTGATGCTTAAGCGCTGAAGTTGTGGAGGTAAGCAGATGGATACCAAACTTTCAGTTCTCCTAGCCCCTGCTGCTTTAAACTTCTGTTGTAGCCTGTCACTTAGTTACAGTAATGGAGATGATGAGCAGAGAGAATTAGATTGTGAGGCCTCTTGTCGAAGACCTGACTTTGAAGAAATTCTCCAAGAATTGAGTTATTTTGGTGCCAGTGACACTTTGGAGGTGACTCCAGCCTTTGCAACCAGGGAGGTGCTTTGCAACAGAGCTCCCTTTCATACAGAAATACACTTTTCAAAAAGCGCATCAACATCATTTTATTCGCATTTAATGCCAAACAAGTGAGCTCCTCGTGTCAACACGAATGTAGCTCCTCCCAAGAACGCTGCTCCCTCCTGCGTTGCACTGGCCTTGAAATTGAATTTCTCTACAGGGCCTTCAGGGTAAGCTTGGAAATAGCTATAGCAGATGATTGGACTAATGAGGAAAGCAATATGAATTTTTTAATTGAAGGCCAGGGACTTTGCTGAGGGTTTCCCCCCCGCCTCACTTTAAGATACTGCAGAGCCAGCAAAAGTGCTGCCACTGATTATCTTTCTCTAAGCTTCTCCCTCTGGGTGGCTCCCAGAAGCTGCTCGAGTTGGAAACAGCCACTGACTGCAGGAGGGCAGAAGTCCCTGTACCTGGGGAGAAAAAAATTCTATCTTACAAGGTCAGTAATGTTTTCTCCAGAGATCTAGACCACGCAAGTTAGATAGGATTACTTTTCTTTTAAATTGCAGCCTGAAAGTACTTAAAGAGTATCTCATTAGATTCTTTCCTTCTTTCTTTCTTTCTTTCTTTCTCTCTCTTTTTTTTTTTCCTGGTTAAAAATAAACAGAAACAAAAGAAGTCCTTCTACCTATGGGTGACTTTTGAGGCTGGATAGAGGTTTTTAAGGGCAATCCAGAGAATACAGGGCAGCACAAGCTTTAAAACTGTCTTGTCATTACACAAACAGTTCCCGAAGACCTGGAGCACTGGGGTGCGCCGCATGTGGCCAGGGCCTGCTTGGTTCCATGTCTGAGCTGTGCAGCCTGGATTTCCCCAGTGGTCCAAGAGCTGCCCTTGAGGCCCAGGCTGGAGGTGGTCATGGGGTGGCATTGCCTGGCCGCAGGCAGACCCAGAAAGGGCTGTGGGTGACTCCATGCTGTTTGAATGCAGCTGGGTGCACCTCCTGAGGGACCCAGTCAGGCCAGGACCTTGTTTACAACAACCTAGTTGAGCTTAGTATCTCCCCAATATTGTTTAGCCACTTAAGTACTAAGTCTGCTAAGCTTTTTGGTTGTGAGGGGTTTTTTTGTGTGTGTTTTGTTTTTGTTGTTTGTTGGTTTGTTTGGTTTTGGTTTTTTTTCCTTTCTTTCTCTATGTTGGAAAAAATTGCCATTTTCTATTGAAGATTTTTCTGGCAAAGAAAAGAAAAAAAATCCCACACAGACTCCCACTGACTTGAATTGGCTAAAGCATTTTACAGATTTGTGTTGCATTTGCAGATTCCAGTGAAAGAAAACTCAGCAAAGTTCAGGGGGGGAACCAATATTGTAGATTTGAAATAGTTAATTTTTTTATTTTCAAAAAAATTACCATTTTCATTTTTCTATTCAGAGTTACTTTGTTTTGGAATTTGTTATGCTGCATTGCCTAAAATCTTTTAAAAAATCAAAACAAGATGAAATGGCTTGTTCCTGGTTGAGAAAAGCATGTTTTATTTAACTAAAAATGAACACAGACTGAGTAGCCATCTATTTGCCTAGCCCTAATTTTCACTTCTGTTACAGGGGAAAATCTCCTGCCATTTTGCCATGGTTGTTACCTTGTCTCTCTGAGAGTGAAGTGAGCTGTAGAGAGATGAATCCAATGTCTGGAGTCCCAGGAGCAGTGTGGCAGGGCATTAGTTGGACCACAAGCATCCCTCTTTCCTTTTTGCTAGCACCTTCCTAACTGGCACAGCTTTCCCTGGGGTTATGTTCATAGCCTGGATGGGGACAGGTGTCTTTCAATAACAAGGCCTTACATGAGATTATTGAGAGCCTCAGGCACAGCAGGGCCTGTGGTTGCTACAATAGCACAAACACTACCTAACAATAGCGTGATACAGAAAGCTCCTGCAACCAAATAGTCTAAATTCCTTAAATCAAAAACCCGACAAACTAAATGGTTCAAAATTCCAAAGCATGAGGTCAGCATATAATTCATGTGAAAGGAAGAAAAAGGCAGCCTCTTGATGCATTTGAAATTGCTGTCTACTCTGTTTTTTCTTCTCTCTTCTCTCAGCAAGCATCTCTGCACTCATCTTTTACACTCCTTGCTCTTTTCTCTCAGGTAGTGCTTAAACACTATGGCTCTTTGTCCTCCTGATGGAAAAATCCAGATGGAAAGAAGTGTGGTTCACAAGGAAATGATCATGTAAGTGGAATTAATCTTTCAGATACTGTAATGTGAAATATGATCTTCCTTTTTGTTAAGAAGACCCAGTCTGTGTCTCTACGCTTTGGTCAGAATCCGATGCTAAGAGAACCCAGGAGTCTCTTGAGGTAGAGCTGAAAGCATCTTTGCAGAAACAGGCACATTTAAAAGCAATAGCAAAGTTAAAACAGCCAGATGGGAACCTAGCAGGCAACCGAGAGGGGAACTCTCTGTTTTCCTTGCAAGCCTACAGGGGCTTGTTTGCAGGAATTAGAATCTCTCACCAGCAGTTCACTGCAGCTCTAATACCAAGTGGTATTGAAAATGAGAAGCAGGTTATGGCTGATGGTTTCAATGAGGCACCTATGGGAATTTAGAAATGAGATCCTGGACTTGTCTCAGTGTAGGCCGTGCACATGGCAGAGCAATATTGCTTTCTTGGCTGACTGCATCATGTATTATGGCCTTTTATTTTGCCCACAGTCAAACAGCAGGGAATAGTAGAAAGTTCATTGCTCCAGCTCACTGTTTAAACTCTGATCTGCCTCACCAGAGACAGTGCCCCCGAATAACGGAAAGCAGAATCGGTCCCTCAGCCTCAGTGCGGGTACATATTCAGTGCAGCACTGAATTAATGCCACTGTCATTATTTCAGAGTGAAGAGAAAAGCAGAATGTGCAATTAAAGCTCTGTTTGGTTCAGTTTTTAAGGGAATTTACTACCTGGGAAAGATGCCAGATCAAGGGCTCTGGAAAAACAGCCCTCTCTTTAACAGCAGTGTTGGGAAAGATCAGGAGCAGCCCTGCAAGCCTCCTCCATGGCTGCCCTCTTGGCTCAGCCTAGCCCAGCTCAGCTTGCAGATGCCCCTTGCCCTCCACTTGCAACTGTGTTTTACAGGGTGGGAGAAAATCCAAGTCTTCACACCTCTTCACTGCTTGGTCTCCCTCCTGACATCTCTGTTCACATCCGGCCTTGTACTTTTATGATGGGGCCCTCTCAGCTTCTCCAAACTGAGCCAGAAGGTACCAACTTTGCTTATAAGGAGCCTGAGCTGGGCTGGAAAGCTAAAGGCTCCTTCCTCTGTGAGCCCTCCTGTTCTTGCACAGAGCTGCCCATGGGGCTGGAGGGGCTCCTGTGGGACAGGGACAGACTGCTGCTGCCCCACAGGAGCTGCGTCCACCCAGGGATGGCTGGAACACAAAAGGCCATCTCAGTGGTGGGAGCAGTCAGAGGGCAGGGCAGGTGAGGGTAATCAGCCTCGGGCAGGGTTGGGATAGCCAGGAGAGCTCCTGGTGGTGAGGAAGGTCCCAGGTAAAGTGGGAAGACAAGGGGGTGCATGGCCAGGCACGAGCAGAGTTGTGAGGTCACATAGGTAGACATGAAGCCTGAGCATCTCAGCTCTCTCTCACACAGCCCCTTCCAGCAGCCCCATCCCAGGTCACACAGCCCCTACTGTCCTTAGACAAGGCAAGCACCCGTGAGGGAAAAAGCTTGCTGACATCAGGCTCAGTGGGGAGAACTTCACCTGTGCCCTAATGGTTTTTGGGGAGAGGGTGTTACTGCTTTCTCATAGAAGTGCTCCTGGAGAGCATTTCCTTTCCTTTGTAATGTAATGTATCTGCACATATTTTCCCAAGACTGCCACTCCAAGGGGGGAGAACCTCCACGCTGCCTCCAGCCCCCCACACCTCCTCCCCCAACCCTCCCATTTGGGAGCCACACAGCCTAGGAAGGGGCACCTGCCCATGCAAGGGGCTGACACTGCAGGAAAGGACCATTTAAAAATGGAGGCACTGGTTGGAAAAATGGGGAGTCCTGCCTGCAGTGACAGGTCATGGCTGTGGAATGACGACAGCTTTTACATCTGCAGCTTTCAGATTCAAAGGAGATAAAAAAAAGAATTATTACCTTAGCAGCTGGCATCTCTGAGCTATTCAATGCACCATCCCCAGCAAGACAGCGCTGCCCTCCACAGGCTCCTACCACAATTTCCAACTGTCTGTGGATATTTGTCAAGCCTAGGGTGATGCTTTCCCCTTTATTTCTCCTCTGGAGCACTCCTGTCCAGGGTACCACAGCTAAGAGTTAAAGCCCTCCAAAACTGCTGATTTTCTTGACACATCCCAACTACACTCATGCTTCTCCCTGAATTAAAACACTGTAGTTTTAAGTCCTGTTGCCAGCAGCCATAACTATGCTGTATGCTGTAATCAGGGAAGCACACAGTCACCATGCAGCTAACTGCTTCTAATAGTAGAAACTTCACTCTAATCTTATATAACAGCAGTAATGGAGCAGAGAGGCTGTGGCTTGTGAGGAGCTTAGACAGAAAGCTTTCTTGGGCAGCTCGTGCCCTGAGGGCAGAGAAGCTGCAGCTGCAGTGAGAGCAAGAAAAACAAAGTGACCTTGATATTGATAATAGTTCAGTGAGTGCTGTCACAGCCAGTGCTGTGCCAAGATTTCATTGGTGTCACAGGCTGTCGATAGATGTAAGTTATGGGCAGTTCTGATATAAATGGTGTCAAAGAGACCAGACTCAGAGAGTGGGGGGGAAATAATGTCTTGCAAGCTTCAGAAAAGACAAACAAGGATGTTAATATACTGCTATTAAAAGGGGCTCCAAAGCACTTGCCCTTCTGCAGGCAGTATGGATTGGTGTGACTGTGGATTAAAGAAGTTTTTTCCTTCTCCTTGATTTACTCCTCAAATGATTTTTATCTGACTGCTCCTGTCAATACAAAATTGACAATGCTGTCAAGCTTGCAAGATTTCAGAATATTTGAAGGCATGAGAAAGGGGTTTTGATATTCCTCGGTCGTTTGGCAGGGGTAGCTTTGAGCTGTCTGTCTCTGTGCACTTTAAACGTAAGCAGTGAAGTGCTCTCCTTGCTTTGCCTTGCTTGAAAGGGTACATACAAAAAAGGCACCTTTTTCTAAGGTTGACAAAGCTGTACAAAATTTTTGCTTGGAATCAAGAGCAAGAAAGACTTCAAAACTCTTGCTTTTAGTGGAAGATCTATTTTGGCACTTGATTTTTTTTTGGCACATCATAAAGCTTTCCAGGGCCATTCTCTGCTTTGTTGGAGCAGAGCGGAATGGGGGTTTTAATTTTTTTTTTTTTTTGATTGCTGATTTTAAAATGATTGTTTATTTTTTGATTAAGTAATCTTTTAAGAAGTGTGATTGTATGTCACAGAAGAATTGACCATTGATAAGGTGCACAAGAGCAACTAAAAGGAGATATTAAGATCTAGAACTGGGATTTATTTTCTCTTGCTAAATTTTGTTTATGTGTCTGATGAATATTTGCTCCTACTTTCTTATCTTGAAGAAATAAAACTGTGAGTGGTTTGCCTGTTGTGCTTCCCTGGTATTGGGGTGCGAGGTAAATCAGAGCAAAGCAGGGGTGTGGGTAAAGCAGGGTGTGCAGCCACCTCTCTGGGCTGTGATAGATGAGAGGTCAAGAGCAGTGGGAAGATGCTGCTGCTCTATGGAAAATCCAGTCCCAGGGTCACTAGGAGAGCTTGTCCTGCCATTTGCTGGCTGGTGAGAAGAAGTTTCTCTGCCAGGCCCTGCTGTGACGTCTCTGTGGGAAGCAGGCAGGGTGGGGCTGCCCCGCTCCCCAGACACCGTGCTGATGTTAAGTGAGTCTTGCAGTTGGTCAGGCAAGGCAGGAACAAGGATTGTTACAGGTCAGCAAGTTTTTGGAGGGTCTTTTCACCTTTATCTTGCCAAGTGTTACGCTTTTGTTTTTCTGATGCTGTTTCATACTGAGGCTTGGTGTGCACTATAGATTGAAGCCAAAGTTGTTTCCTTGGTTGATGGAGGAGGGGAAGGAGCCTCCAGCAAAGCAGCAGCCTCGTGGCTGCCAGGAGGGAGAGTTGAGGTAGCAGGGTGTAAGGCAGCCTTACTGGAGGTTGCGCCTGCTGCAGGCAGTTTATAGCAGACAGTTTGGGAACATGCTGCAAACATAACAGTCCATTTTCCCTACGCAAACCTCAGTACCTCCAGCACAGCCCTGGGAAGGCTGTCCTCTGCTTGGGAAAGTTGCTGTGAGAAGGAATACATTGAGGACTTTGAGATTCTCAGGTGCAGTGGTAATGGGAGCCGCCCATGAGCTATAAATAGCTCTAACATCGTTTCTCTCCAATGCCTGGCATCCCAAGCAGTCAGTTTTGCTGGTGCTAGTGAAAATGAACAAAGCTTTGAGAGCTTTTATTTACATTCTCTTTGCAGGCTGGAATTTTGTGAGTAGTTTTTCTTACTGGCTCTGAATTTTGCATTTATTTTAAGGGAAAATATTGGCATTTTTTTTTTCCTTTTGGATTTTTTCTTTTTTTTTAAGTTATCATATATAATTTTCATATTTTTAGCTCAACTATGTGGGAAAAGCTATTGTGGTGGGAGAATGGGGATCACAAATATTCATTTTCAAATAGCCTTTATGTAATTTCAGGAAAAGGCGGGGGGGGGGAGGAGGAAATCCAGGAACCTAAATTTAATCTTATATAAATATTTTTTACATTTTTAACAAAATAATGAAAGTGTTTTTGTTTAGAATTAAGCAAACAATGCAGGGTGCTTTAGCAGATTTTGTGGTGTTTAAATTGAGAGGTCACACAGAAATAGTTGTTGCAGTAAAAGTTTTACATGCCTATCAGACAAGATCTTCCTATGGTTTGATAGGAAACAAAGATGCCTTTGTGAATCAGCTATGAAGACCTGAGAGCAAAACTGGCAAAAAAGGGCCCTCTTAATATTTAGCATACACTTGATTAAGTCTTCTGATAAAATGATAAGGCCTCACCTGTTATGCAACTCTCCTTTGCTGTTACAGACATTCTGGAAACATGAGGTCTACAAAACAGACATTTTGCACTGGGATAACCAAAGAACCACTGCTACAAGATCAACTGGTAGAGCTGGAAGATTTAGTCAACTTTTTAAATATGCAAGAAGGGCTATATTTTTTTCCCAATTATGCTAACTAATCTAATTATACACTGCTTTTGCTAACAACCCTTGCCTTAGACCAGCAGGCGATGCTGCTGTTAGTGAAACGCTGTGATTTTTTTCTATTGCCACAAGATGGCAGGAGAAAGCAATCTTGAATGATTTAAAAGTACACAGCGATGGGCATCTCATGACGGGATCCACTCCTGACTGGAATTAAAGGGAGCACTTACTAATATACAAGAAACTGCACAGATTGGATTGAAGAAAAACGTGAAATGTACAGAATTAATTAAATTGGTATTGACTTGGGTGTATACATCAAAAGATCTACAGCATATCCTTTCCCATGCAGGTTTTCTGTCTAAGAGAAGCCTATGACAGTACCCATTTTTTCCTGTACACCATATAGTTTGGTCTGGTTTTGCTCCACTGGCAAAAGCTGCTGTACAAACCAGTCCAAGACATAATGCACTCACCCAAAGTAAAGAGCAGGGTGATTCTTTTAGTCTTTAATTCTGTTTCTTTCTAAATACATTTCTCTTCCCATTCCCAGTTTCTTGAGTCGTAGTAGGAAAAGAGCCAAGCGAGAGGAAAGATCCACTGCTCCAATGTTTGGGAATAGAGGGAGGCATGAAGGACAGAGGCTGTGCGGGAGAACACACTTGGGTGGTCACAGGCTGTTGCACTGAGTGCTGCACTGGGCAGTGGGATCACCTCAGAGTGTCTGTCATGCCTGTTCTCCAGGCAAAAACTGACCCTTCACTCACATGGGTGTCACAGACAAGACATTTCCACTGCCAGGACTGAGCCTCTCAGGAGCCAGCGGGGCTTTGGAAGAGGGCTGGGATGGAGGAGTCTGCTATTCATGCTCTCTCCCCATCAGGAATGGAAATTGGTTTGGACAGTACAACCAGACTGCCTGGGGGCTTTGAGGCATTCCTCCTCTGCATTCAGCATCGTGGCTCCCGTGACCCCTTCCCCTTCCTTACAGTGAGGCATTTGCAGTTTGTCTGATGAGGGGATGAACCTCACGGCCGTGACGGCTGTGTTGCCCCACGGTAGCGACCTCCCCAGAACCTCCTCCAGCGCCAGCCTGCTCCTCATCCACCCAGCCTGCTCCTCATCCACCCAGCCTGTTCCTCACCCACCCAGTCTGCTTCTCACCCACCCAGCCTGCTCCTCAACCACCCAGCCTGCTCTCACCCATGCACCCTTTCTCCTCACCCAGCCTTTACCCCTCCTTTTCTTGCTTTCCCCACAGCCCAAGCTAACCTCCCTGGAGCTGATGGAGGCCAGGTGCTTGTTGGGGCAACTAGAGAGTTTTGTACTAGGACTAGCCCTGCCACCGAGTCAATACTAATTCAAAGCATCAAGAGGTTTAGAAAGTAGCCAATCTATTGAAAGCCAAAAGCTGGAAGATAATCAGCTGTCCGGTTTCTTATACTGTCTTCCCTTAGACTCTGCACACTGCATTCATAAGACAGATGGAGAAGGCACCAAGGTAGGTTAGACCTGAAGGTTTGGATGGTTATTTTCTCCATCAGCCCAGAGCAGAGTACCTGTTACTAAATACTGCATTTTGTAACATGGGCACCAAATATCCAGAATCTGCCCCCCAGTCTGGGAATACATTTGTCACTATGAAATAATTGCCATTTCACAGTGGCACCATGGAGGAGGATGACAAGGAATCAAAAGTAAAGGAGCAAAAGAAAAATGTTTGAAGCAACTTTCAACTGTTATGATGATAAGGAAAGAGAACTGATGATATGGGTGCCCATCACCTGGGCAGGAACACCCTTGCTCCATGAGATGATGTGAACACAGACCCCAGTGCCCTCACACCTTTCCCCTCCAGATTCTGATCCTACTTGTCTTTTTTAGGGATTCTTTCTTGTATTGCTTCTTTTGGTAAAATGACTTTGGTCCCAGAGTGGGAGTAGAATCAGTTTCATTTTGTGAGGAAAGCAAATGATGGAAGCTCTGCAGCTGCTGGCAACACCACAAGAACACTGTCAGCATCCAGGAACTTTCTTTTGCCCTTTGGCTGCCTACCTCAGAGTTACAAGATTGCACCTGCTATTCAGAAGTAGATTAAGCCTTCCTGGAAATTAATAGCTTTAACTGAGCACAAATGACTTTGAATCTGCCTCGTACAGGACATCCTACAACCTTAGTCCTTTTGCCAGCCTTCCAGCCACTGATCATTTGGGTCAAAGCAGCTCCAGGGTATGCTTAACCCTGCTCTGGACATGAGGTGAGCAAGCCTTTACACACTGAGGTGTTGGTACATACGTGTGTATGGGGGAAACAACACTCTACAGACATCTGTTCCGCTTCAGTGCTTGAAAGGAAAAATCCTCCCCTTTCAGCACTGAAGCACTTACTGCAAGTGTCAGTTTGCTATCTTTTTTAGTGAAGACCAAGAGTGAGAAACTGTTCACCACAGGCAGTTTATCCCCCAAACAAAGGCAAATTCAGGGCTGTCCAGGAATTTGAAATCTCTGGGTAGAAGGGATTTTCTATTTCTATTTTATTGGGTTAGGGATTTATCCCTGAGTTTTTAATTTTTGTTCTATTGAGCAAGGCGTACATACCTCAGAGGGAATAAACACATGTACAGGTCAGCTCAGAAGAGAGGAAGTTCCTGCACAGGTGACTTAATCACAGCTGTGGTGCTGGATCAGGTCTTGAGAGGGCTACACTGATGTCTGCTTTTCTGCCACTTTTCACTATTGCCACAAGTAAGGGCTGAGATTGAGTGGGTCAGTCTTAACCCAGAAGATGAAATCTGATGTGAAATGCTAGGTGAGCTTATTTGGGCTCTTCTTATTTCTGATACTGTCAGGCACAGGAAGGTGGTTACTGACTATTGGAACAGAAAAATGTGCTGTAGAGCTGAGGTGCTTTCTTATCCTGACTTAACTAAACGTCTGTCCCACTTCCTTCATCCGTGAAGATGTCTGTCATGCCTGTCCCATTTTCTGCCTTTCCAGGGTCATGAAAAATAGTGATTACCAAATAACTTAATCTCATCCTTCTGCTGGCTTAACCATTCTGTTGATGGGTCACAAACTGGGTGATGACAGGCAAAATTTGTCATTAAAAATTCAGACTCCCTCTGCTCTCAGAGGTGCTAGCATGGTGGCGAAGCTCTCTTTGCACACACACAGCCTGCCTTCTGGCAAATTACATCTCCTCCTCCCTGCAGGATGATGCATCTTGACTGTACAGATGCTCTGTGTGGCTACACATGCCTTCACAGCGGGATCTATTAGCACCAACCAGCCCCCCTTGCAGGGATCTGAAAGCATGCCGCTTGTTGGCACAGGAATGAGCCTGCTATCCCCACAGGACATAAAAACAAAAATCCTGGCCAAAGAGGGAACCATGAGAACAGAGCTAAGGTTATGACTTTGTAAATGTTTATCTCCAGTCTGTATTTGATGTCTGGATACTAAGGTGACCAGTCCCTTACAGAAACCTAAGGCAGGTTAAACAACACAGAGACACACAGTGGTTTTCTTGAGCTGCAGCACAGAGCACGTGCAGGGCATTCACCACTTGTCACCTTTGTGGTTGAGGATTTCATGCAGTGTCTCTTCCTAAGCCCTTCAGATTTGAGCTGTAAGTATGGTTGATACAGCTGTGCTTCTTTTTTATTTCTAAAAAAGAATGGCTTTCCCTTTGTACTGTTTGCATTTTGTCACGCTGCTTTGGTTCACTCACCGTTTTCCTGGGTTTGGTAAAGCCGCTATCTGTAAAAACAAGAATAGAAAAATAAAGAAAATTATCAAAGCCTTTTTCTTATATATGGGAAAGAGATTTTTTTGAAGGCAGAAGGGTGAATCCATCAGGTTATGCACTTAAGTACTATTTCTGTCCTTGAAAATCTTTCGCTTACAGTGCTTAATTGGTCTGTACAAATTCATTGCCAAAGAGGTAATTGACCATTTTTATAGAAGGATCAGTAACAAAAACACTCCAGGCTATTGTTCTAAAAATAAAATTTAAAAAAAAGAGGGAATTATGAAAAGAATGTGTTTCAGGGCATCATCTAGCCTCTCCAGAAGCTATGCAAATTCACTTGGTGAAAGCAACAGCAGACGCAATGAAATGAGTTGTATATGAAGAACTGAGATCTCAAATGTGATATTATGCAGAAGGTAAAGAGTCTGTACTAGATAAGTAACAGCTCAATGTGTTATCAAGGGTGCACTTTGATTTTGATGAATGTTAAAAGAACCTTTAGCCTGGAAAATAAAGAGGATAATTTCTCTCTAGGCAACGGCGGCTTGTGAAAGTCATAAAATAAGAGCACTGGAGCTCTAATTTTATAGTGCTTTTTAAATGATTTTCAAATGGTCCAGCTGCTTTGTGCCACAATAACACAAGGCAGAGATATTTATGCCCGCAATAACAAGTATGCATCAGCCTGCCTGAGCAGCTCACGCAGGCAGCCTGCGCTAGGCGGAACACACGTGGAAAGAGGATACTTGCCAGTGTGGATTGATCACAATTACACCGTGGTGAGAGAGATCCTGGGAAGCCGTTTTTTCCACCAGACAACTTGATTGTTTTTCTTGTCTGTGTCTTGCCTGCAAAGCACAGGATGTGCACGGCTGGCAATGCTGGTTCTATTTTGGCACTTCAGAACCTGCCAGCAGTGTGTGCCTCATAGGCCATGCCGTCCTTGGCAGACTTCTCTTTTCAGAAATAGGAGGGCAAATTCAGCTCTGAGTTGCACCGTTGGTTTTAGGTGGGGGTTTCCACAAGGATTAGTTTGGCCCCAGCATTGGTGCTCTGATGTTGCACTGCATTATATTCTATGGAAATGCATACATGTGACAAAAGAACTCTGGGCAAATGCTGTGGAGTTTGGTTGAGATGCTGAATTGACAGCAGCAACTTCCTCAGGTATTTTACCTCTGCATGGTTAGGACTTCAGCCTAAAACTGCAGTTTGTTTTCCAAGACTTGCTCTAAGATGTGAACTACCCCAGGGTGGTCTAGCTTAGCTTGCCCATTTGGGCAGTCATTTCAAAACTGTTTTTTATCTTTACAGTGCCCTTCCCTTTGTGAGACATTGACAGAAGACAGGTTACTGGGAGAAACCTGTGTTCTAAGTCAGCAGAGTAAGGCTGAAAGAGCAGTTCATTTATTAAATATTCCTGTGAAATAAAGAACTTGTGTCTTTCTGTGTTTGCTAGTGCTAGAGACACAGCAATGTTTCAGGAAAAAGAATTTTGGTGAGAACTCCGAGCATGAAATAAAAAGGCTGATTTGTGGCTGAAAATTTATTACATTTGCAGTAATTCATAGGTCCATAAATCTAAGATAGAGCTAGGCAGAGAGCATTGCAGGAGGAAGGTACCTCTGGGAAGCCCCCAGCCATTCAGCATCTATGGTCACCAAGGTGAAAATCTCTGTCTCCCAACTGGATGACTTCTTGTACAGTTTGGACAATTTTGTCCCCTTTTCATTTGCTGATCCCAATGTAGCAAAACATATTTGCATCTTTTTATGTCCAGGAACATACTTAAGAGCTTTAATTTTAAACAGGGGCCTATTTTTTCTTGGAGTTGAGTTTTAAGAGATGGAATGAGCAGAATGGACAACAAATTAGGAATGTATCCTAGAGAAGTGTCTAACACATTTGTTGCCTTCATTTAACCAAATGATCAAGGAATGACTGGAGTATACAAAATCCAGAAACTTTGTAAACAGGAAAGAGAGATTTGATGCCAAAGCCTTGGGTCATGTTCCTTACACCTTTATGTCATACTCAGATTGTCTTACATTTCTCCTTGACAATTTGTTTTTTAATCATGTAAGAGTTTAGTTTACATAGGTGTATACTGTATCTTAGTTCAATATGTAAATCCTGCAGCTTGATGAAATGGCTCGCTACTGAACAACTCTTTGGATAGCATTGCCTAGAGGAAAGTGACAGAGTATAATAAGGCCAGCCAGCAGAAAAGAAGCAGATCTGCTTTTCTAAGAATACAGCAAATGAAGATTTTTCCCTTACAAACAGAAATGAATACATGTAGTGCTGTTCCAGCTGCAAGGAATAGTGCCATGGTCACAGATTGCATTTCTTCTGCTTCACTCACATCTCATCTCATCTCATCTCATCTCATCTCCAAGAGATCCAATTTACGGCAGATGAGATAAAGTAGCCTCCAGGGTATTACATACATCCCTTTCATAAATCAAAAACCACTTTTTGTTACTAGAGACCTGAGTCCAGAAACAGAGGAAAACACGTGGCATTAGACATTGTAAATGGCCAATTGGCATGTCTCTGCAATAGCTCTTTGCAGCTTTTGGCTGTTTCTCAAGCCAGAAAGTAACTATTTTTTATTGTGTATTCTGATGAATCAATACAGAGAAACTAAAAAAGTCAGTGATTTCTGACTGAGAACTAAGAACTTTCTCCCCAGTCACTAAAATACAGCATCATTCCCTTTCATTATTGTTTTTTTTTCCCCCTACGGCTACAGAAGATACACTCTGATGGATTACCAGTAGACCATGGATGATCCTTGCCACTGATGTGAGTATGGTTTTGCTGGTCACTCCTAATCTTTCAGTATCCTGCTGTTCTCCCACCTGCCAATGGAGACAATGTCTGTAGGTGGATAATTAGGCTCATTCAAGTGGTTGAAGGAGGTTTGGTTAATGTTGCTAAAGTAATTTGTGATTGCTTAATGGAAGTGCTGTGTAGAAGCAGTGGTTTACCACCAGGATAGGGCCTTGCCATTTGCCCTTGTGAATGCATTCAGAGATGATACAGAAATGTGCAACAAGGTAGAAGTCAATCGTGTCCTCTGCAGGAATTCCATAATAATGCATTTCCTGTCCATGGAAAATTGGGTCTCCTTTGATACTCCACACAAAAATGTGCTGCACTCAGTGCATGGGTGTCACCAAGCCTTTTTAGGTCTTCCTTGTTATGGGTTATGGAACTATGGAGAATCATGTATGAAAACTCATAACACAAAGTAGCTCAAGATATTTTGTTGCCTTGAAATGTATTCCTGTCTGTAGAGAGCAGTGCCCACTACACTTTGAGACATTTTTCCCCCTTCAACATTTATAAGAAAAAGTGAGGTAGTAAAAGAATGGTAAAGGTGGTGATTTCTGAATATACTCAAAACATATCTGGAAATGCAGAACTCCAAGTTATTTCACTTCTGCAAATAAATAAATTTAACAAGTTTTACAGGCTCCAGTTGACTACAAAGGCATTGGGGATTGCTGGCCTAAACACCTTACAAAAAGGCACTTCAGGAGGTAGCTCAGGTCCTCCTATCATTGGACTTGAAACATGTGTTGAAAGAATACACAAGGTTTTAGCCCAGCCTGTAACCGTTTTGCCTCACTTTGTATGATGTTTCTTTGCTGAAATGATATGAGCCTTGTCAGTCTGGCTAAGCTCCAGTAAATAAGCCTGCCTGCTTAAGATCAGCATGAGGTTTCATTTCTGCAGAATATTTTACATACTGTGCCCTCAGTCACTTATGTAGTATTTCAAAAACCATTTTACCTTTAAACCCAGAAAGTCTTGGCCTTGGCCTTGCATATAAACAAAGGCCGATAGCCAGACAAATATTTAATAATCAGTTTGTTGACAACTTCAAAGTCCTCCAGGATGAAGGTTGTCATGTAAAGTCAGCCTTCCCCACTTGATTTCATGAGAGAAGTTTAACTTGTTTAAAGACGCTGATCATCAGATTTCTGATAAACACATAAGGAGAACTATTTCTCATAAAATACAGCATTAATTCTAGACTGATCTTTGATTTCCAAGTAGTTGCTCAGAAACTGCACACAACAACTGGTTCCACAGAAACAAGAAGTGACAAAATATGTATGATACTGCTTTGGGTTACTTTAGCTCTGGCACAGGTCCTGATGCTGGCATGGGTTTGCTCAGTGATAGAAACATCCACTGTTTATTGACTTGACTGAGTATTGGGTTGGGCCCTAAGTGCAAATATTAATTATTAATTTAATACTCTATTCCCCATTTCTATCTCATGAAGATCACATGAAACCTTATTCTAAGGTGTTGTTCATATTTGTCTTATTGATGTTGGCAAAATAAAGAAAATTCTGTCTGTAGCACTTGATCAACTTCCAGTTTCACTGTTTGCAGTCTGTAGCTTGTATTTAAGCAGGTATTAGCTATCAGCTGTTGCATTAACAAACAAACCTGTTTACATTTTTATTCCTGTTAGCTGAATGTTCTCAAAGTTCATCTTTCCTTACTTCACATACATTCACTGTTTTACATTTTATTCCCCAACAATTTTTTTCCTTCAAGAGACAGAATGTGATTGAAATAAACATCCAGGAATAGTTTGGAGCAAATATACTCATGGCCATTAAAAAGAGGTCTTAAAATGGCACTTAGAAGACTAAAATTGAATGTTGGTGTTAAAACAACACAATTGCAATGATTTTTGTATTAAATCTTTGCTTTTACTACCAGTTAGGCTCAATTGTACAAATCCAAACAGTTCTAATAGGTAAAACTTTAATTTCCAAGTACAGTTACAAGGTTTAACTGGAAAAGCCAAGGTTGGTTTCCTACTCTCATTGTCAAGGCAGAAGTTCAGTGAAGTTCATGTTGTTGTGTTGGCTTCTGCCTCTTCACACCCAGGGCCCCTGTTGCTGGGCCCACCTGCAGGGTGTCACACTCCTCATGAGAAGCACAGTGAGATTGGCAAGCAGGTTGCAATTTGCAAAACCAAGTTTTGTAAATGCAAATTATTTCCCCATCACCTAGCTCATTTTTTTGGCTTTGCTTTTTCATAGCTAAAAGAATGCCCACTTTTAGCTGTAATCAATGGGCAATTCGCCAAAGGATTGTTAGTTCCTCCTGCTTCTCTCATGTAGGAATTATTGTAATTTTAATTTCCAAGTAACAAGTTTGCAGCCTGCTGGTGGCGAAAAAACCTTGTTTTGGCATAACGTCAGGCACTAGGCATATTGAGTGCAGATGACTGCATGAGTGAAATATCTATCTATACAGCTTTGAAAAACAAACAGTGGAGTCTGCTGTCATTCAGAACATCCATATTGTTTTTTGTTAGAAATTTCAACTGCAAATCAAGTTATCATATAAACAACCAAAATCAGAATACTTTTTAATGTGAAAATTTCCATTCTAGTTAAAATTAAAGCAAAAAAGGTAAAACCAATTACTGTTCAATTTTAAGGCTACTCAGGATCATGAGTCTGTCTGTCTTGTGCTTTATATGGTAAATGCTGCAGCATTTATAAAATCTATATGTTGAACAATTATAATGCAAAGCAATAGAGTCTAATTCTCTTTTTAATTAAAATTTTCTGTTGAGTGGGTTCTTTAATGAATCATCCTTTTGATTTCTTCTAATGCTAATCTTAAGTCTATTTTAAGGCAATGAAGTTTACCAATGCTAACTAAATAAAGTTGGACAGCATATGTTAACGAGTACTGTATTTCCCAGCCCTTCAGAACAGCTCAGCCTCAAATAACACTTACATATTGCCTATGTAGAGATTAGGCCACTCTTCACCCACGTGATTTACTTCCACCTTGCAGCTCTGGCAGTTCCTGGGCAGAGGGAGTGCCAGCCTCAGAGCATTCCCAGGCTGACAGGGTCTGACTGTCTTCAGGCGCTGACCCCTTCAGAGGCCACACGCAGATTTAGGTAGAGGAAGGCCTGCTGGAAGGCACTGCTGCAGGACTCACAGGGCAGTTTTCTGCTGAAGCAGGCTCTTTGCCGCTGCTTGATGTTCCAAGCAGGTGGCTGACTCTAAATACAGCACGCGCCTTGACGCCTCCCTGGATTAGCTCAGCGCTACATCCCTCATGCAATGGGCAAGAGCCAGAAAAATGAAAACTCTGCATTAACTGAATCTTATGCAAAAAAATGCTACTCCCCTCCCCACATGAGCTATATTGCTGTTCCTGCCAGCATAGAGCTTTCCCTGGGAAAGAAATGTCGGTCAATGCAACTGAGACACAGTCCCAAATGCCTCATGTGACCCAGTTCTAATAATAAACTACCAGGAAAGAGCGGGTAGCGCATCTTAAGGGTGAGGTCAAAATAAAGATCATGAGAGCAACTGTCCTGAGCCTTACCAGGGTTCATTGCACCCACTATCCTGTGCATCCTGACTGGATGTAAGTGGATGCCTATAGAAAATAAGAACACACAAGTATGAATTACACTGCTTTCTAACGCTCTCCCAGCTTCCATCTGACTGCAGTTCATGAGCTTCCTAATCTAGATGGAGTTTCTAAGTATTTTGTAACCTGAATGGATTTCTGTCCCACAAAGCCTGGGGCAGGAAGGCCTGTGCACCTGTAGCTTCAGAGGAGATGGAAGGTAATGAGCTACTGGTGAGGAAGGCCCACCAGGACTGACAGTTCCTACAAGCTCCTGGGAGGGTATGCAGGCACTGCTGCATGAGCCTAGGTGCTTTGGCCAGCTCAGCAGGTACTCAGTTTACCTTTAGGTATTTAAATATCTTTCAAAATGGAATTCTCCCTCAGTCAGAAGTTAAATTTCAGTGCCTTTATTCTCCTGGGTTGTGTAAACCCTCTTGACAAATGTGCATTTTTCTGAATGACGTTCCACTGGCGAGGAAGTATTTTTCCTTTGTTTTGGTTCCTTAGTTTAACTTGCCAAACCAACACTCAAAATACAAGTAAGTTTTCATGGTGATAGTGGAAAGAAGTGAAGTGCTAATGTCATATCACAGTATGACTTGAATTTTGGGTAGTGTAAGTAACAGGTGAGGAGGTCCCTTTTCCTCTTGGTCTTGTAACTTCTTAAAACAAAGCATTGTTTGCTGCGATGTGCTAACTACTCTGCTTTTGCTTATGTTGACTGGAATCTTTTTTCCTGAACAAACCTGGATTCAAAGTTAATCTGTATATAAGGAAGGGAGCAATGCAGACAGATGAAATATATATAGGCAACGCTGACTCCACAGATTAAAAACACTTCTGTGATTTGCTAGTGCCCTTGAAAAGAGCATTAGTTCACTCTCTCCACTGAGGTAAGTCTTGCTTACAAGATCACTACCATGTCACTGGTGGCTTGGATGGCCTACTGACTCAGCTTTGCTTTGTACTCTTCTCTTCTCTACCCCTGCTGAAACAGTACTCTCCCAGGACGAGCAGTATCTTCAAGAGCAGGTACTAATTTACAACAGGAGCAGCTTTCACAGCTGTGGCTTTGTAGGACAGATGTTCAGGGGTATGCAAAGCATTATCCTGATGGGGGGATTCCATTAATCTTGCTCACGTCTAATTTTGCCCAGCCTAAAGCCACTAAGATGCATTATTTCACTCACATGTGAAGTTTCAGATTTTTCAATGCCACATCTTCAAAACGTTTCCAGACTGAAACCTACTGTAGTGTGAATGAAGTATAAATTATAATGAAATATTAACTCATATAAATCCCTATTAATTTTAATGGAGAACTACAAAGCAAACCCAGCTCCTCCTCCACCACTCCGCTTCTTTGTGAGGTATAAAGATTGTCCCACTGCTGTTGGGTTTTAAATGTGATTCCCTATTTGATCTTTTTACATGACAATGTCTTATCTTTCTCTCATCAGTGAAGCTCTTTGGCAAGTTTAGGAAAATCTGAACAGTCAAAGTGATGTCTGGAAGAATCTTAAATATGCTTATTTTGCAAAGCACTTGTGTACAGTGAAATAGGGACAGATTTCTAAATTCCCATAAATGCTAAGCAGAATCAGCATTCATGTCAAGAATTCAGGAGAATATAGGGTCTGGGAAGGAAGAGGTTCAACTCACAAATCATCACTATTTTAGTCTTCTAATAACCTTGCAAGTCTCTTCCAGCAGAGAGGAAATTATCAGAACTGATGCTTCAAATGCAAACAAACAAGCAGAAATGTATTTACTTTATCTCACAGAGAATCTTTATAAGGTCAACTAATCAATGAATCAAACCAGTAGCAAAGGGCAAAACCAAATTTGATTATCACTTCATGGTTCACCACAAGGTAACAAGCTAATTTGAGTCAGAGTGGTAGCATGAATTTCAAATGCAGTTGCTGTATTAAAAATCCCATCGGTTTAAGTACCGATTAACTGGTGATAGGAAAAGTGACAGCCTCAAAACAGCTTAAAACTAATTTGTATCTATCAAGCCAAGCCACTGATGTAAGCTAAGCTTCTACCTGTTCTTAAACCATGGATGATTCAAAGCCACTGACATGGAACTGATTTGGGATAATTTGGAGTGAGAATGAACTGATGAGTTTAAGCTTACAAAATGCTTCAGAGACCTGACATTTTTTAATGTCAGTCATATACTCAATATGACTGACATATTGAGTCAATATACTACATGATATATATTATCTTGCTGAAAACGTATTTAGCAAGAAAAGATTTGTGGTTTTGCTGACACAGACTGCAGAGAGTTTCACAGACGTTTATTCTGCTGGTGTGGGTCTTCTGGCTGTCAAAGCTTTCTACAGCATTGTAATATTTAGCAGATCAGTGAAAGAGGAATGTTTCTGTAGGAGTCCCTGGGCTCTTAAGAAACTGCCCTTGCCACATAAGCAGGCCTGAAACACAAAAAGCTTTTCTTACGAGAACATGCATGTGAGAACTGTAACCAAACTGATGAAGATGACTTTGTTACCCTCCCAATTAAAGGCAACTCAAACATCATTTACAGCTAGATGCAATGACTGAACTTTCCTCTGGCATTAGCACAAACCAGGAACAAACTCAGTCCATCTTAACCACTTCAGTGGATTCATCTGGTAGCACCACTGTAGGCACAGCAGCTCCACAGCACACAGTGTTTACAGTGCTGATGTTGGCTGTGCTGGTCTTGGAGGAACTGAGCTATCAAAATTAATCCATTTACAGTTCTGTTGACCTTTGATGCATATTTTTCTTCATTTTTGTAACAGGCACTGACCATAGGAAGTGGTATATGCACAATAACTATGAAGGCTGAAACTCAGTAAAGTGAATGTAAATAGGTTTGCCCAGTCAGCAGTCTTTCTTTTGCCGTAGCTGAACATCCAGATTTCGCAGGTGTTTCAGAAAGCCACGATTGGGTGAAATCCATCGATGCTCCTTCACTCTTTTGATGGCTTCAACTAATGGGAGGTGGTGATTTATCATGAGATATGCTAGGACCAGAGAAGCGGACCTGCTTACTCCAACTGCACAATGTACCAATATTTTAGCTGGTAAAAAAAAAAAAAAAAAAAAAATTAAAAAATTATAACCAGGGAAGAGAAGCAGTACAGTGGACAAAGTTTAATTTAAAGGGAAGGCAAAGCCCTTCTGCCTTCTCCAGCTTAGAGTAACACTGCAAACATGATGTATTTTTTACCCTTCTGATAGATCACATGAACTGCTAACAACTCTAATTTGCCATTGTTACACTCACTTGTATAAAAGTGCCATGAGATCCCCACCTGACGTCAGAAACACTGGCAAATCACAGAAAATAAACCTGTTGAAGTAATGAAGTTGTTCTGTTGTGAGAAGGAGGAAAATCGGACCCATTGGTTTCAGAGGGCTTACTTAGGCGAAGAAGAATGCTAAAATTTGGCCTGAGTGGATGGCGCTAACACAAGAAAAATGACTGGCCGAGTACCATTCTATAATAAGGCAATTTGATGCAACCGTAATTGTATTTTGAAGGCAAGAAAATTTTTTGTGATACAGAGACAGGTCCATTAATGCCAGTTTACTCATGCTAAGAAACGATCTTTTATGTAAAACAGGGTGATTAGTATTTTATTGTACCACTGCCAAGAAACTCAGTTTCTTGTGCTATTCACTATAAATCTCCTTGGGTAAAGGTAATTCTTATCCCTGGGGACACAGCCCTGCAGGTCATGTTCAAACAAGAAGCTCATCTGCAATATATGAGCCTCCTCATACGGTTGGTGATTGTAGAAATCAGGACTTTTGTCTCTTTATTCATTTGTTCTTATAAGTACAGTTGCTCTAAAAGGGTCTCAAAAGAGGATGTTTTTAAATGCATGGGTTCGATTCTCCCTTTTTGAATGAGCCTTTCCTTACAGATATTCTCTTCTCCTCTCCTCCCCTCTCCATCCCAGTCTCCCTCCTGCACTGTTCATCTCTTTTCTCACATTAGCTTTTTGGAACCTAGTTAGAGCTACATCCATGTACCCAGCACTCCCTCCTCCTGCCACCCCCTGTGCAGGTAACCAGCAGATAGCAGGACACCATGTAGTGACTTGTCCACCACTGAGCTTGTGGAGCTGATCTGTTATGAGAGGCTGCCAACTTGCATCAAAATATGACCAACAATAATTTCATACCTCCTGGTGTGTTCAAGGCTTTGTGGATAAATTGTGCTGCAGAGAAAAAGAACTGGCTTATATCAAAGCTTGGCAGGTCATGGGCTGGGACACCATAATAATGAATGGTCGCTCCATAATAGTCCTGGCCTCCGTGGCTGTAGGCTGTGCCATGGGCAGCATTTAAAACGTGGGTCACACCCATCTTCCACAAAACAAATCTGTTGTGAGCTGTTACTCTAAGGAAAAGACAAAGACAAATCAAATGAGTGCAGTGATATTCACATATCAGGAGGAGCACTGTGAGACTGCATTTCCAAGGGTGGAGCATCAGGCTGTGCGTTGCTTCTAAGGGTAGCTTAGTCATAATTTTATCTCGGAAATCATGCTGTCTGCAGTGTAAATGACAGCAATTAGCAAAACTATGAGCTGCCTAAAGCCGCACCCATGAGGCATACTAACAGACAGAAGGCATGGCAGAGGTGTGTCCATAGAGCTGTACTTACAGGTCTCCTAGAAAGAGATTAGGCCATACTTCATCAACGTGGTTGCAAGAGGGCCGCCCGGTGTTCAGGAGCTGCTCGATTTCTTTAAGAGACGGGACATCCCCCGTGCATTCCGTAGCGCCTGCAGGTCCCTGGATGTCCAGCACCTCCGCCCCAGACATGTTGGGAGCCAGGCAGAGACCCCACTACCCCGGCTGCAGTCCCGGCGCTGGGACTCTGCCAGCTCCGGTCGGTCACGGGGAGGCTGGAGATGGGCTGGGGCAGGTGCCGGGAGCCAGCCTGTGCCGGGAGCCAGCCTGTGCCAGCAGACAGGCCTTCCCTGCGCTGCTGCCGCCCCCGGGCCCCCTCCCCAGCGCTGGCCCTTCGCCTCTGCAGTACCCGAACAGTACCGGCACAGCCAGTTTAGACAGATGCAGGGACCAAACTGGGCATTACTGGATCCTCACTTGCTCCAGTCCGCTTCTCAGGGCTCGTCCCCAGAGTCGCACAGCAGCCCTGGTACCAGCCACATCAGCCACATGTGGCAGTAGCCCCCTGCCCGCAGGACACCCCCCAGCACATGGCTGTGACTGTTCTCAGTCACGTCCTCGACAGAGCATTGGTATTCATCACAAGCAATTGAAGGCCTGATAAAGGAAAAATAGAAACCTGTCCAGTGCAAGTAGAGTGGCAACTCTGTCCCATTAACAACTGTCTGCCATTTATTTTGAGATGCTTAACAACATTTCTGTGAAAGGGTCAGAAATGCACCAGTGGGTCCTACCAACATGGTCACCAGAAGGTTAAACACCAAGCAGATGATTATGTCTTGCTTATTACTGATAATCTAGAGAAATTTATTTCTTGAAGTTACTGTGTTTTCACCAAGTAAAATTATATGAGTTTAACTGTACTTCAGATTCTTAATATTTTCTATTGCAGTCACTACTTTCATCACTGTGTTAATACAATACACCTGCCTATGTATTGCATGGTACCTCCCTCTGTTGAAAACAGAACAAAGACCATGAGTATAATGGTTTTCAGGTGAAACTTGTGAGTCACAGAATTAGTTTATATAGGGAGGTTGGAGACTCATCATATCAAATTGTGGTACTAGTGGGCCCTTTGAAGTACAATGGCGCTTGTGCTTCTGGTCTGCAGGATGTGAGACTCCTGGCAGGGGGCTGTAAAACTGTCAATGATGGAGCTGCAAGGCAAAACAAATGAAACACTGATGCTCTTTCTCTGTAAGCCAGGCAGTCCTCAAGAGAAGGTGACTCAAGAGGAGAAGCTTGCTGCTGATGGTATCCCCTGTGGAAAAAAAGGGCAATGAATGAAAAGAATGGTCAGGTCTGAGCCACCTTTATTCTACATGCATTTATACACTATGACTGAGAGAAGGCTTGCTTTAAGTTATCAAGAGACATATCATGGAGAGCCATTTCAAACTGGATAATAAAGTCTAGACTAATTAACTATGCTTAGGAGTATGAGGGTGAGAGATCACCATAATGCAATGCAATAGTTTCCAGCATCAGAGGGCAAAATTCACCTGCAAGAAGAGAAAAGGAAGTGACTTTGTATAGAATATCCCATGAATCAGAAATTACTAATATTCTGTGGATTTAGGGAAGAAACTGCTTAAGAGCATCCTGTATATAAAGAGACTTGTTTCTTCCCCCTGCCATATATGTTCTGACCCAAAAGGTGAAATAAGGGAAACTACAAGCAACAGCGCTGCGGTGCTTATTTAGAGGGGGCAGTGGGACAGGCAGTCAGGCTCTGCTGTGAGGCAATCAGCTGGTCAGATCCAGCAGAGGAGAGGACTGGAAAAATGGTTGAAGTTATATTAAGGGCATGTACATATTGCTTGTAGTATGTTACCTTGTTTTTCTGTTTTGCTCTTCTTTTTTTCCTTTACTAAACTAGTGCTTTTTAAGCTGATTGATTTGTGCTCAAGAATGAGGAAAATTGACTGAGCAGGTTAAGTTGTTCAATTTAGTTTACCTTTCTCAGGTTTCTGGGTGGAGACTTAAGGTGAGGCTTTACTATCAGTTTTTTTTAAATGTAAGCCCAGCCCATTTGTTGCCAATCAAGGTCTGTCAAATAAGTGACATTGACATTTAAGTTTATCCTTTTCTGCTGCAAAACTTTTACTGGCCTCTACCCAAATGCACTAAGAATTCAAAGTTCATTTGCAGCATGAGAGATGGCAAACAGAAAAACGTCAACTCCAGAAAAATGTTCTCCAAGTCCTGTGTGCCTTCAACATTTGTATAGCATGCAGTCATCTGCTTCAAAACACTGGCATTCCACATCTAACATCTTCTAAGCATTTAATAGTCTGCGAGCATGGCTTTGGTAAAGCTGTGTTACTGACCTTTTTTAGCCAGGAGTTGCCTTTGAAACAGTCAGGAGGCAGAGATCTGGCTTTCAGATACACTTGCCTCTCAAATCTGTGCTTTTTTCCCCAGCCCTTTTAAATCTACTAAGAATGGAAGTAAAAAGCAACAAACTGATATGTGGCCACAAAGAATAGAAGCAAATTTAGCTTTCTGTGCAGAAGACACCTTTTGAGATTCTAAGAATTTGGATGTTCTCCTGGCTGTTGGGATGGTGGGCAGCTCTAAACCAAACATTTGTGTGTAATTATATATGAGTAGTAGCTGCTGTCTCAGTTGAAATTAATGCGTGATTAATTTCAGAACAAGCAACAGAAGGCATCCTTCTAATTGGACTATGCCTTGGTGATTACTTTGTAGGTAATACTTGCTGGAATAATCTAAATCAAACATTGGCAGGCTAATAATATATTAGGTGGCAACAGTGTAAACTGCCATGGAGTGCTCTAGTAGCCCGCGGCGTGGCATTATCGGGAAAACATGCAGCAGTTGAGAAAAGGAAATTCATGGTAGCTTTTCTATTTCTTCTATTGAAATTAGTGCTATCAATTCTAACTGATGCCATGCCTGTGACACCTTTCCTAATAAAAACAGGGCCAAAATCAGGCTCCTTTTACATATCCTGAAAGAAGAAAGCTTTTACAGGGAAAACATTACAAAATGGAAGTTCAGCTTGCTAGGATTCTATTAATACAGTATCTCCAGCTGCAAAAGATCTTATTTCACTTATCAGCCTGTTTTCAGGATTTGATTTTTGGGATGGCTAACTATTGAAGAAAGATTGAACTATTTGAATTCTGGTACATTTTGGTCAATACTAAGTGAGACAGTTTTCTGGTGTTCCACAACACAAATGTATTTTTAACATGTGAAACAATTTTGTCTGATGATCACAAAGAGTTAATTCTTTTTTTTTTCACCCTTTTTTTTTCCTCCTCTAATAAGCTCATTTTTATGTCTTGAAAAATGATTGTGATTCACTACTTTGATTATCCCTTAGGCATCCAATCTATTTCTCTTCCATTACAGAATTAGGAAATTTGAAGGAAAAACAGATGCTTGAAAGTTCACACATGAGTGACTGAAGTATTCTTCAAATGAAGTAGATTACAAAGAAATTATAGGGCAGGACCTGATCTGTGCAAAAATTATATTAACCAAACCAACACCCCCTCCACCCAGAAAAAAGAAAAGAGCATGATTTAGATCAATTAGTACATCTAGTGAAAGACATTCCCCTTGCCATATTGTATTCTTTCCTGGCTGAGATTTTTCATAAGCAATTCTTTCTCTGTTCAGCTGAGGCCTTTTTTCTTGTGTAGGGTCTTAAAATTTGAGATAGATTATTTCAAATTATTAAAAGCTAACAGTATTCTTTAATGACAGTGTTTAAAAAACCCCACAAAACATTACATTAACACATCTCATTTTCCTTTGCTATATAATATATTGTAACTTGAGCTACTTGGGAATTTTCAATATAAATTTCCTTTCTTTTACTGTATTAAGTGTCAGCCTGAACATGAAATCAACCTATGTGAATTGAATAAATTGTTTTCAATCTAAAGATGCATCAGTGCTATTACACAATATAAAGACTTTTTTATCTTGGCAATCCACAGTAGTTTTAGAAGGATCTGTAGCATAGAGTTTGTCATAAATTCTCAGACTGACATGTCAGCATTGGCACTGCCTGTCAAACTTACATCAATGCCTTCATGTCACATGGCATGAAGTGACATAACTCAAAGTGAAGGAATGAGGTTTATTTGAAATTTCTGTTAAAAAAAGCACAAAGTATTTGGATAATTTACCCTTTTAAAGAACTTCAAGTGTTAGCAAGTAGAAGTAGTTTTCAGCTTTGAGGTGTAGCAGCTAAGCAGCTATTATACATCTACTTTCATCTAAGAGTTACAAGTTTTAAATTATGCTATTTATTACTTTTCTGTGCAAGCTAATTTGGTAATTTTCAAAATACTTGTTAGGTGATGAAACTAGACAGAACAGAAAAATGCCATTAGCAATGATAACTGTGGGTAGAAACTAATCATCAAGCCTTTTTCCAGCGCTGAGGTTCACAAAATCACAGATTTGTTAGGGTTGGAAAGGACCTCTGGAGATCATCCAATCCAACCCCCATGCCAAGGCAGGGTCACCCAGAGCAGGTTACACAGGAACATGTCCAGGTGGGTTTTGAATGTCTCCAGAGAGATAGACTCCAACACCTCTCTGGGCAGCTGTTCCAGTGCTCTGCCACACTCAACGTAAAGAAGTTCTTCCTCATCTTGTGTTTTAGTTTATGACCATTATTCCTTTTCCTGTCACTGGGCAAATCACTGCTGCAAACCAGCCCAGCACCCTCTGTAGACAGACACAAGGTGCTCTCCAGTGTGTAAATGTCTGTCTGTCTAAGCCACTTTTACTCTGGACGCAACTTTTGGCCAGGGGTTCACTGCATGGAAATCAATTGCTGGAATAACAGACCTTAGGGCCTGTAAACTTCAGATAGTCCTGGATTCCCATGCCTGTCTAAATATAGCTCATTTTCCAACCTTGACTTCTGAAGTCTATAGACTGAATTTGGGAAGTAATTTTTAATTGGGTTGCTGGTGTTGCTATAAACTCTGTAGGGAAACAAAGTAAGGAAACTTTTGCTTTCATTTTTGTTTCCTTCCTGGAATCTGGTGAGCTAGAAGACTCTTGTGCATGTTTAGAAGAAAAAAAACCACCAAAACACATCACAAAGCCATAGCACTGTGAACAAAGCAGCAGTTTCCTGGCACCTCCCATGAGAAGGCTAAGAAT